CAGCTCTCCGTTCCCTTTTTAGGCATTAAACTAACTCCTATCCCATTGGACCTTTATACAGCCAACTATTTACCAATGTTGGCCCACCTTACTGGTCTCATGACCAAATGGTCTTCCTTACCATTGGCCTGAATGGGCAAGATCACTGTTGTGAAAATGTAAATTCGTCCCAAAATATTTTATTTGTTTAGAGTGCTACCTATTCCCGTACCTACACACTTTCTCTGTATCCTACAATGTCAAGTGTACGCATATATCTGGGGCTCCACCCATCTTGTGTACCTCGCGCTACCATACACAAAGGTCACGGGTGGCCTAGGTCTCCCGGATTTTGCTAAGTATTACCAAGCGGTGCATCTTGCACAATTGCCCAAATATCATGCAACTGATGAAATCCCCCAATGGATCATTCTCAAATCGATTGATTGCGACCCCCTCTCAGTTGTCAATCGTCTATGGCAGCAATGGGCAAACTACGGCCCGCGGGCCGTATACGGCCCGGCGGACCTTTTAATCCGGCCCGCGGAGCTAGGCTCCCGCAAGGCCAGTGGTCGGCAAGCCGCGGCTCTTTACAAATTTAGATGCGGCTCTCCTGTGTGCCGGGCGCCCGCTCCCCTCCCTCCTCTCCCCTCCTCTCCTCTCGGATGGCCGCCCCCCCTCTCGGATGGCCGCCCCCCTCCCTCCTCTCGGACGTCAGGACTCTGCAGCTGTCAGGATGTAGGCGGGGCAGCCAGGATGTAGGCGGGGCAGCGTGACGAACTCCTCTCACAGTCCTCCCTGAAGACCAGAACGGCGCGGGAATACGAGAGGAACGCGCGGACCAAAGGTAAGTGAATTGACACAGGGGGGGGACTTACTATATGGGGGACTTACTATATGGGGGATGAATTACTATAGGGGGGACTTACTATATGGGGAATGAATTACTATATGGGGGACTTACTATATGGGGAATTAATTACTATATGGAGGACTTACTATATGGGGAATGAATTACTATATGGGGGACTTACTATATGGGGAATGAATTACTATATGGAGGACTTACTATATGGGGAATGAATTACTATATGGAGGACTTACTATATGGGGGATGAATTACTATATGGGGGACTTACTATATGGGGAATTAATTACTATATGGAGGACTTACTATATGGGGAATGAATTACTATATGGGGGACTTACTATATGGGGAATGAATTACTATATGGAGGACTTACTATATGGGGAATGAATTACTATATGGGGGACTTACTATATGGGGAATGAATTACTATATGGAGGACTTACTATATGGGGAATGAATTACTATATGGAGGACTTACTATATGGGGGATGAATTACTATATGGGGGATGAATTAATATGGGGGATGAATTAATATGGGGGATGAATTACTATGTGGGGGATGAATTACTATGTGGGGGATGAATTACTATGGGGGATGAATTACTATATGGGGGATGAATTACTATGGGGGATGAATTACTATAGGGGGGATGAATTACTATGGGGGACGAATTACTATATGGGGGACGAATTACTATATGGGGGACGAATTACTATATGGGGGATGAATTACTATGGGGGATGAATTACTATATGGGGGATGAATTACTATATGGGGGATGAATTACTATATGGGGGATTAATTACTATGCTTACTATGGGGGAATATTACTATACTTACTATGGATGACACATACACATCATTCATCTACTCTTGGTCCGGCCCCCGGGTCCAATATATGAACCCATTGCGGCCCTCAAGTCAAAAAGTTTGCCCACCCCTGGTCTATGGCTTCGACCATCGGATAGCCATCCGCTCCGTAACCCTATAACATCCTATTATATAAAGGAATGCGCTAAATACCAAATCACATGAAAATGCAGATAATACATAAATAAAATAAAAAATATATTTATAAATGTCCGTAATTCATATATAAGTCCAAACACCAATATAAGTGATTAAAAAATCTCTTAACCACTTGCCTACCAGGCACTTATACCCCCTTCCTTACCAGGCCAATTTTCAGCTTTCAGCGCTGCCGCACTTTGACAATTGCGCGGTCATGCAACATTGTACCCATATGAAATTTTGATCATTTTTTTCTCACAAATAGAGCTTTCTTTTGGTGGTATTTAATCGCCACTGGGTGCTTTACTTTTTGCGCTATAAATAAAAAAAGTGCAAAAAATTTGAAAAAAAAAAAAAGTTTATTTGTTTCTTTTATAAAATTTTTCAAACAGGTATTTTTTCTCCTTCACTGATGTGCGTTGATGAGGCAGCACTGATGGGCACTGATAGGCGGCACTGATGGGCACTGATAGGCAGCACTAAAGGGCACTGATAGGCAGTACTAATGAGGTGGCACGGATAGGCGGCACTGATAGACAGCACTAATTAGGGGTCACGGATAGGTGGCACTAATATGCAGCACTGATAGGCGGCACTGATAGGTGACACTGATGATGGGTACTGATAGACAGCACTGACTGGCATCACTGCTGGGCACTGACTGGCGGCACTGACTGGTGGCACTGACTGGCAGCACTGCTGGGCTGCACTGGTGGGTGGCACTGGTGGGCAGCACTGGTAGGTGGGCACAGGTGGGTGGCACTGGTGGGCACAGGTGGGTGGGCACAGGTGGGGTGGCACTGCTGGGCACATGTAGGTGTCACTTCTGGGCACAGGTAGGTGGCACTGCAGAGTGGCACAGGTGGGTGCACTGCTGGGCATAGGTAGGTGCACTGCTGGGCATGGGTGGGCGGAGCTAGTGGGCGCACTGCTGGGCGGAACTTGCGGGTGGCACTGCTGGGCACCGATCATCAGTGCCCTGATGATCGGTGCCCATCCCCGCTCTGACAACTGCCGGTTCTCGGCAGTACTTTCCTCATGATCTGACAGCGTGAGGAAAGTGCAGCCGAGAACCGGCACTTGCATTTCCCTGTGATCAGCGTGTCATTGGACACCGCTGATCAAGTGGTAAAAGGCCGCTGTGATTGGCCTTTTACCACATCACGTGATCAGCTGTGTCCGTAGGACACAGCGATCACAGAGATCGCCGGGTGCGCCCCCCCTGGGGGCGCGCAGGAGAGCGCGTTCTGGGAGGACGTCATATGGCGTCCACCCAGAACTGGCCGGCCGCAGTGTAGCCGTCATTCGGCTATCTGCGGTCGGCAGCTGGTTAAACAAGAAAAAAAAAAACGTGTAGCAAAATCAACCACCGAATGAAATGGGTAAACTCACCAGAGTTATTTGCTGGTCAAATCATAAATCAGCAAAAATAGCAATTGCTCTGGAGCGATGATCTGTTGGAGTATCCAGGAGCAATAGACTGCAATCAGCCAAATCAGCACACATGGAGCAGCCTTAACTGCAAGTGGTCATCATGCCTTCATACTTTGGAAATGCTCAGGAAATCAAAGAAGAGTATCATGGTGCAGTATATTAAAACAAAGATAATCTTTATTGTAGCCTTAAATATGCACTCACAAGAAAGGTGTCCAACCAATATCAGCAATATCAGTCTCAAAAAGCTAAAGTAGAGACGAGCCTCGCTCACCGCGATCACAGCCGACAGTCTCGAGGAGCATCCTGATGTCCCATCCACTAAGCCCCGCCCTATGTGTTTCGTCATCCGACGTCTTCAAGGGGCGGCATGAATGACAGACGTCGAATACCAACATACGTATATACACACTAAATCTGCATTGCAGCAATGCTGCAACCAATCGATAAGCAGCATTCTGGTGACACAATACCGCTCGATCGCTGCAGATATATCCATTATTGAGACAAATAACATATTAAATAGCTGATAAAAAATATGAAATAAAAATGAAAATAATATTCACATAAAAAATAAAATAAAATATAATCAATATAAAATAATCTAAAAAAACTCAAAAAATAATAAAACATGTATAATCACTATATGACCCCCTATTATTTAAAGGGCCAGTATAATTAATAATGTCAAATAATATAAACAACCAATAAACATATAATATCTGCTGATGCATATTCCAAAAAAAATATATAAAAAAAATAATTAAATGATATTGTATCGGTCTGTAATAATCAACTAGGTGACCACATGCTGTTAAGTGGCCACCCTAAATAATAATATCAATTTGTATGGAAGACCAAAAAATCAATCTTAATCTTCCAATTGAAATAAATCATTATTGTATACAAACAGGATGGTCTACAAATTTACCATCAACAAAGGAAGAAAATTTGATCAAAAAATTCAATCAAAAAAATTTGATCAAAAATTGGTCAGAAAACAATTTAAATCAATGTCGATATTCAAACCATTCGGTTTTAAAGATTTTAATTTGTATATCTAAAACGTCTCCCTTCTGGAGGTTTCATTGATCATGTCAGTACCCCTCCAATGTCTTTTGATTTTATCTATTCCATAAAAGGTCAATAAACTGGGATCACTATTTTGTTTCAGTTTAAAATGCCTGGAGACACTATGCTTGTCCTAGCCCTTCTTTATATTATTTAGATGTTCTCCTATTTTTGTTCTTAATATTCTCCCTGTCCGTCCCACATACTGGAAGTGACATGGACACTCCAGAACATATACCACATGGGATGAATTACAAGAAATCAGTGTGTCGATCCTATATTTTTTATTCGTTGTCATTGAATAAAATTCTTTTCTTTTTATCTTTGAATCTCTTGTTACTGTTTTACAAGCCTTACATTTATTACAATGGAAGAATCCTTGTAAACCAGGAAAAAAATTAATTTCCTTAGGCGGGTCAATAACATTATGGGCTAATTTCGGCCGCTGCGATCTATTCTTCCTATAGATAAATTTTGGTCTAGAAGGAATACCGTATTTTTCGCCCCATAAGACGCACCTGACCATAACACACACCTAGGTTTTAGAGGGGAAAAACAAGAAAAAAAAAAATATTCTGAACCAATGGACTGCAGACACAGTACAGGAGATGACCAGAGACTGCAGACACAGCACAGGAGATGACCAGAGACTGCGGACATAGTACAGGAGATGACCAGAGACTGCAGACAGTGCAGGGAATGACCAGAGACTGCAGACACAGTACAGGAGATGACCAGAGACTGCGGACACAGTACAGGAGATGACCAGAGACTGCGGACACAGTACAGGAGATGACCAGAGACTGCGGACACAGTACAGGAGATGACCAGAGACTGCGGACATAGTACAGGAGATGACCAGAGACTGCGGACACAGTACAGGAGATGACCAGAGACTGCAGACAGTGCAGGGAATGACCAGAGACTGCGGACACAGTACAGGAGATGACCAGAGACTGCGAACACAGTGCAGGGGATGACTAGAGACTGCGGACACAGTGCAGGGGATGACCAGAGACTGCGGACACAGTGCAGGGGGATGACCAGAGACTGCGGACACAGTGCAGGGGATGACCGGAGACTGCAGACAGTGCAGGGAATGACCAGAGACTGCAGACAGTGCAGGGAATGACCAGAGACTGCAGACAGTGCAGGGAATGACCAGAGACTGCAGACAGTGCAGGGAATGACCAGAGACCGCTGACCTTTGGGGAGGAAGGGGGAGTGGGTACCTGAATTTGACAGGTACCCGCTCCCACTTCCGCGGAGTTGTCCTTCCTTCCTTCTTCCCGGGCCGGCTTCTGTGACAGCCGGTGCCCACTGCGCATGCGCGAGAAGCGCTGCGCTTTGTGAATGGCCCGGCGCCTTCTGGGACCTGTCATGTGTCCCAGAAGACACCGGATCATTTACAAAGTGCAGCACATGCGGGAAGACTGTGCAGCGCTGGAGCGAGGAACAGGTAAGGCCCTGCAGGAGAGAACAGCTGAGCTGTTATTTTGTATGATAAGAGAGAGTTCCTATCCTTATTATTAATCAACTAGAAAAAAATCTACATATTCTCCAATGCGGGCAAAAATGGAATTAATCCCGCTAACAATAGGCCTTCCAGGTGGATTAAATTTATCTTTATGTAACTTTGGCAGATAATAGATAGTCGGAATTCTAGGATTTTTTATATACAAATATCTAGCCTCAATTTCAATTTTTATAATATCATATAAGAATTTATAATATACCATAATATCTTTTAAATCTTTGATCTTACATTCTAATTTTTTTAATTTCAATTGTCTTCTCTTGAAAATAAGCTCCAACAATAGGAAAAATATTATTATTAGAAGTGCAGATAAAGGAGGAAGTATCGTCATTTTAAATAAAAGTAATCGTGAAAAAGAAATGGAAAGACTGTTAAATATTAAAGACACCTATAAAATATTGGCATCCAATCCAACTAAAAAATTGAAACATCGTTTAAAACAATTAATTAAGAAAGGTAAGGATTTGGGATTCCTAAATGATAAAGAGGCTAGATATTTGTATATAAAAAAATCCTAGAATTCTGACTATTATCTGCCAAAGTTACATACAGATAAATTTAATTTAATTGTTAGTGGGGATTAATTCCATTTTTGCCATCATTGGAGAATATGTAGATTTTTTTCTACAGACCATAGTGAAAACTAATCGATCTTTTTTAAGAGACAGTGGTGAACTTATTAACACTCTAAAAACAGTAGGTGACATTGGTGACTGTCTTTTAGTTACCATTGATGTAGAATCTTTATATACCAGTATTAACCAGAAGGATGGTATTAAAGCGGTGAAGTGGGTGTTAAAACATAAGTCAAAATTAAAAAAGGTTCAAAGACAATTTATTATAGAGATCTTGGAGTTCGCTATGTCGAATAATTTTTTTTGGTATAAGGATACTTTTTTCCAGCAGTGTAGAGGAGTTGCTATGGGAGCAAAGTATGTTCCCAGTGTGGCTAATTTGGTTTTAGACAAATGGGAAGAAGAATGTATATTTGACAAATGCCCAAAAATGAAATTGTATAGGAGTTATATTGATGATATTGTGATGATTTGGGATGGCTCAGAAAGAGATCTTGGCAGATTCACAGAATTTATTAATAACAACAATCATGGATTACGGTGTACAGTTACTAGTGACCCTAAAACAGTTAATTTCTTGGATTTGACATTGTTTAAATCTAATGGATATGTTTTGACTAAGACCTTTTTTAAGGATATAGATAAAAATAGCTACATCCCAAAATCAAGTGGACACCATCCTAGATGGCTGTTTTCTACCCCGAGAAGTCAATTTATGAGGATTAAAAGAAATTGTAGTATACAGAGTGATTTTATGGATCAGACTAATGTATTGATTAATAGATTCATAGAAAAGGGTTTTGATAGGCCTTTTTTGGAATCAGAAAGGGAGTTGATTAATAATAAGGATAGGAACTCTCTCTTATCATACAAAAAAGATAAGAAAAGTTTGGAACATACAGCTTTTATTACTGATTACAATACGCAATATAAAGATATTGAAGGTATTTTTACAAAATATTAGCCAATTTTGTTGAGAGATGAAACCTTTAAAAAAATTATCCTTCTAGAAAATTATTCCTTCTAGACCAAAATTTATCTATAGGAAGAATAGATCGCTGCGGCCGAAATTAGCCCATAATGTTATTGACCCGCCTAAGGAAATTAATTTTTTTCCTGGTTTACAGAGAATATATATTTTCCATTATATAACAATAGCTTGAATATGTTTTGGTAAATACCTGAAAAAAGCTAAAACTGTGCCTGTGTCCTAATATATATGGACCTAACAGTATATATGATTTACAGACATTTAAAGATAATATATTTTTTATTTTATTTATGTATTTATCTGCATTTTTCATGTGATTTGGTATTTAGCACATTCCTTTATATATATTTTTGCCACTTACCTTTTCTTTGGTTAGGTTTGCAGCTTTGTATATAATTTATTGGTGCTGTGTCTATATTTTTTACTAAATCCTACTATATCTCACTCTGGGACTAAAATCCTGTTATTCCCTTCAGTCGCCGCATAACCCCATTATATTAACTACTCTCATATCTACGAAACCCGGTCTTCACCATGATCCTTCAAACACTGGTCCTCGGCGAATCTGCTTCACACTCACTATTTTATATCCAACTCAGGCTTCAAATCCTTCCCTTCTCTCCGCGAGTCACACTCTATACCGGCGGCAGAAATATTTAGGTACCATCAGTTACAGCATTTTTATGCTCCGATGACTGTCCATTCCCGCTCAGCTCGTCCAATGTCTTTCTTTGAGCGATCTTGTGATAGAGACCCACATAGACAGGGTCTTATTTCTGATTTCTATAATCTTCTCTTTACTTCTGAGACCTCACCCAACCCTACTTATGTCGTTAGGTGGGAGAAAGACCTGGGACTCCAGCTGAGCCCTACAGACAGGGACCACATTTGGTCTGCTACCAAATCCTCCTCACAGAATGTGTTGGCTTCGGAGACTAATTACAAGGTTTTGACTAGATGGTATCTGGTCCCGACGAGGATTGCTAAATATACCCCTAATTACTCTTCTGAATGCTTTCGGGGTTGTGCGATGGTAGGAACTTACTTCCATGTTTGGTGGTCCTGCCAGGTTGCCCAAACCTTTTGGCAAAGTTTTCCATATGTTATCCCAGCTCCTTGTAAAGTCAATACCGCCAGACCCAACTGTTGCACTCTTAAACTTGCGCCCCACCTCTATCTCCAAATCCCAATTTAAACTGCTTCTGCAAATCACTACCACAGCTAAACAGATTTTGGCCAAATCGTGGAAGTCACCATCACTATGCATGCTAGCAGTTCGAAACAAAGTTACACAAGGAAAGATTCAGGCCAAAGTTGAGGCCACTATTTTAGATTCGGTCCCTAAGTTTCTATTGATCTGGCTCCCATGGATGGAACGTTTCCTTCCACCAAACTTTGATGACTCATTGCTCCTTCCCTGAAGTCCTCTTATCCTGCATCAAGGTAGTCCTAAGAGCCGCGTTTTGCGTTGTCCTGGTTCCGAGATTTTCTATTCTCTTCTGGAAGTCACACGCCCTCTCTCTCTCCTTCAGTCTCACTTTTAGTCTCTTCTAATTCTCCACCCATTTCTTTTTTGCTTTTTATTCTTCCAGTTCACTTTTGCCCCCCTCCTCATTCCTCATACTGAACCCCCAAATGGTCATTGGGAACAATGCTCCATCTCAGTTGTACATTTAGATTCTATCTTCCCATGTACCACATTGTTCCTTTGTGTTTTTATATGGTTCCTCGTAACAAGATTTTCATGTAATAATCCTCTTTCCCTGTAGGGCAACATGTTTTTCTGTATTCACTTATGCCTGTATATGCTCATAGACTGTTCTACGTCTGTTTCTTTCCATGTTTCTGAAATCAATAAAAAGTTTTTACAAGGAAAAGTGTTGGTGCCTGCTAAGTTGCAGGAGAGTTTGGGTGGAAGATAGTGGGGAAGATGTGAGGCAGGAGGCTGTGAGGAGGCCCAGTTGGATGGAGCCTACCTGCAGGCCTGGAGTGGGAAAGGAGGAAAGCTCAGCTCTCACTGGCCCTCAGAGCAAGGACCACCTGTATAGCAGGGAAGGAGCGGCCCAGCTGACAGGCCTGGTAGCAGCCACAAACCCACCAGCAGTACAGGAGAGGATCTGAGTGAGTACACCTACACCCCCTGGGCAGATAGGGGAAGGATCACTCTGGTGGGAAACCAGATTAGCCATCTGCCAGTGACTGATCATCTACTAAAGTGACAGGAATTGGATCCTCTGTTCAGGGATACCTCCAGATTGCTGGGTGAAGAGAAGTTCATCTAGGGTCTGGGGTGGTACACTAAGGAAACGCTGGCTACATCTCCAACATAGACTGTGCTGCAGAGAAGGCTTGTAAATAGTTAGAAAAACAAGATGGCAGTTGACTAGTTGTAAATAGTTCCATGACATTATCCTCAGTTCATCAGTACCCTTGGGCATCCTGTACACCACTAACCCTATCCCAGTTCAAAATCCCCTAAATAAAAACAACAAAACTAAAGCCCAATGACTGATTTCTGACTCTGGATGAAAGCTTTTGTGGAGATGTGTGATGCCTGGGTGTGCAGGACTATAGGGGGACTCAGATCTTCAAGCAACTCCTAAAAGGGTAGTGCTACATGTATGGTACTGACTTAGTCTGCGGACATATTTCTGGTGTGTCAGTATGGTACTGACTGTCTGCAGACATGTTTCTAATATGTCAGTATGGTACTGATTCTGTGTCTGCGGGCATTTTATGCTTTGTCTGTATTGACATTTTTCTGGTGTGTTAGTATGGTATTGATTTTTCTGTCTGTGTTGTGTCAGTATGGTACTGACCCTTTGTCTGTGGGACATGCTTCTGGTGTGTCAGTATGGTCCCACTCTTTGTCTGTGGGACATGTTTCTAGTGTATTAGTATGGCACCGACTCTTTGCGGGACAAGTTTCTGGTGCATCAGTATGGTACTGAAACTTTGTGGACAA